CAGTATAAATCAATGCTGTTGATAACCCAGTAACCAGAAATATGGATATTGGGTCATATGGATGCAGCTAACAACAATGAAGGCAGAATTCAGGACGTTCCCTGCCCCCAAAAACAAGGGAAATGATTTAGTGACCCACTAGTGAAAATCTTCCAAATGGGCATATGGGAGATTATTAGTATATATGTTTGTAAAGTGGATATATTAATTTATTATAGAAAGGGTCTTAGCAGCAGTCAGTCTATATCCATGTTCATGCTTTCAGACTGGCTTCCAGCACTATAATTTAAGAAAAAAAACATATATTATGCCATTTGTAATACCATATGACCAGTTATACCCTTTGTCAGAAAATTGATTTTATGGTTTAGCCAAATGTTGCAATAAATAACATTATGATATATAACTTGCTGATGTCATACATTTATATATACATATATATATATCACTCTTCAAAAAAACCTAAAATGTAATGAAAATAATTTTATGTACAGAGTCCATGGTACTTCAGAAATCACAGTGATTAGTTCATGATGTCTTTATGCTTCAGGTCATTAATTTCAGAATCTGCCCCTTTAACCATTTGTTTGGGATTGGTAAAATTTTTGCCAAAATGTGGACCTACTTTGAGTGTTTGAGAGAGTAGAAGGGACTTGAATCTGATCACTCAGCTTCCTGGTAGAACAATCTGTGAGACAATGACACCTAAATGTCTTTACCTTTAGAACAATGGGTTTGATGATCTCTACATCTTGTGCATTTCCATTTTTAACCTTCACTTTGAGTGAATTCTGTTCAAATGTGCAGGTTAGTAAAGCATAGGCTGATTTAAAAGGCTAATAGACAGATAGTAAATTGGAGTTCACTATTTCAAAGGGGTGAAATAAGTTTTAAAAACCGAGATTAATGTTAGAAGTGTATTAATCAACCTCCAAAGACAGGGGATTGTACTTTCTGAAACTATTTCAAGGTCTTCCTTACTGCTAGCTTCTAATCAGACTTAAGTGCTCTAATTATTGGGCCCTTTTGCAAAGGCTTCTCTCCTTTCCTTGCTCATGTCATGTTACTAAATGATCCACCAACAAAAGGGCCAATAACTTATGTTTTCTTAATAGCATCATCTTTTAAGATTCCATTATTGTAGTAAAATAATGAGTATATGTTAAGTGCTTGGGAGTGGTTGGCAAAGGGTTTATTTAGGGACCCTAGAAATAAGGTCAATAGCCAAGGACATGTGGTTCAGTTCTTGGTGTGGTGCAGAGGACTCTGTCTACCCCACAGCATAGGTATTTTTCTACCATATAGGTAAAGGTAAGGTAAAGGTAAAGGCCCTCCCGTTGATCGTCGATTTGCTCGAGTGGGCCCAGTAACGTCTCCATTGGAGACTTTGTTGTTACTGTGTCTGGCATATCGAATACTCTCGGTAGCTTGCCGGGCTCTCCGAGAGGGGCGGAGGAATCGAACTCGGGTCGGCCATGTTGGCCGCTTGTAAGGCGAATGCCCTACCTGCTGTGCTATCGCTCCAGCCATATAATACATTTTTAATAAATGTAACCTAATTTATTTTCTTTTTTTCTCTCTATTATGAAATGATAAGGGGGGAATTCCAGATCCCACTTAGAAAAGATTGCCAGTAAAGTCAAAAGAATGCATCAAGTTATATCCACAATGTCTCTGAAACAGTCATGAAATTACAGTGGGACTTGGAACTTAAGATCTGGATGACACATCCAGAAACTAATTTACCGACTTGTTATATGTGCTATGTTCATCAAGCCCTCTAGGCCTATTTCATGACCTATTATTCATGAAACTGGAATAACAAATTTATTTGTCATTTATTGTGCATCATCTATGTGTGAGGTACTGTTTGAGGACTAGCAAAATAAAAACAAAATAAGTAAATACATAAAGTTCCACCCATAAGAGCTTGCATTCAGGAGGAGAAAGTCAGGCGAAACTCGTATTTTGTCAGATGGCAAAATGCACAGAATGAGGTACTATTTGATTTGGGCAGCCAAAAAAAATGATTCTGAAGAGATGACTTTGGGTGTAATTTGAAAGAAATAAAGGATAAAGTCATAGGTATATCAGGACAAAGTATATTTTAGGAAGGAGCACATGTAAAAAAAATGTCTGAGCAAAATAATTTCTTTTTTAATCTACATTATAAGATTGCTGTAAAGACAAATAAAGTTATATTCATGACTGTGTATAAAGCATCCTGTTCATTCTCATTGCTGTTGTGGTTAGAATTTTTATAGCATATCGTTGCATAGTGGGCTATTGTATTTTTATTAAGGAGAGAAATTGTCTGAAGAAAAGTTAAAGGACAGGTAGCCACTACCATAATCTTGAGTTTCTCTAGTGAAATATTCTTTATCTGTTCTATAAAGAATATATAAACTGCTGGAGGAAGTCTCTAGAGAACCAGCTGAGAGGAAGAGAAAGGAAGGAAGGTGGGTAGATGCAGCAGTCAATGACTCAGCCCTCAGACTGAGAGGAGCCAATCATTCTTAGAACAAAAGAGCTCCATTTCTCGATGTAGAATTGCTTTTCTCCACCCCAGCTCTCCCTTGCCTCTCTCTGCTGTATTTTCTTCTTTCTCCAGCCTTCTGAATGTGAAATTTCAGGTGACATGCAAGAATAGTACATCTAGTAAAGAGTGATTGAGAAAGAGGATTGTATGTTAATTGTATATTTTATTTTTTATTTTTTATTTTTCCTTGAGCCACCCCCATTGGTGCTCAGGGATTACTGCTGGGAGGCCTGGTGGACCATTTAGGGTGCTGAGGATCAAAGAAAGTGCTTTCCCCTCTGTGCTCTTGCTTAAACTCCTTATTATCTGTTTTAAAATAGACAATTTGAAAATTAAAACTTCATCCTCTGGCTTCAACTTTAATCCCTAAGTGGTCTGAAAATTAGAATTTCTGCTGTAATGATTTAAGTTCTATGTTCTTTAATTTATTCAGGATCACATGGAGTTGAAGATTTGCCGTGGTGTTTGAGCTGCATCTACTCTTTAATTTTGGTGCCATCGTTTGATAGTGCCTCGGAAAAGAAACCAATTCTAGCCATAGAGAAGAGTAGAGTCTTAATTGCTTTCCTTGGCAGAGAGAAACGGATTTATGCTTGTGAACGTCTCCAGGTCTCTTTTCTCAAATGTATGCCAAGTGCTACTCCCCATCATCACCAAATCATTGCCAGGAGATTCATGACAGTTAAACTTGAATGTATTTAAAACACACCTGAAGTGCTTGAAATCCTTACTCAGCAGGGCTGGGGGGTGGAGTGGGGGCGGGGAGGGAAATCTGCATGTTGACTAAGAACCCAGGTGTTTCTCATGCAGGTGGTCTGTGGACCCCAGCATGAGAAACAATGTTTAGACAAATGTAAGAAGCTGACTATTATGAGAGCAAAAACGGTTGACAGGTAGTTCTGTTTGAGCAGGAGGCTTGAAATTGGTGGAGCAAAGAGAAAGGGTCTTCATATATTTTTAGAATCTGCGAATAAAGAATTATGAATTTATTTTATCAGGGGTTATAGGATGTAAGAGCAAATAGAAGAACATAAATTCATCACTGTCATTGTCACTGTCATTCCATTGTTCATCGATTTACTGAGCGGGCACCAGTAACATCTCCATTCGTCCCAGCCCTAAGATTTTGGCAGCCTCTCCTTAATCCTCTTCCCCAATGATTGGAGACTCTTTCAGGGTCAGGGGAATGAGACCTGTTATTGTTACTGTTTTTGGCATATCGAATACAGCATGGGGAGTTTGCCAGACTCTCCCGTGTGGGCCGGATACTCTCAGTAGCTTGCCGAGCTCTCCAAGAGGCATCACTTGCTCACTTGACATCCTGTTACTCATTGATTTGCTCGAGCGGGCATCAGTAACTTCTCCATTCGTCCCTGTTACTTGCTAGTGTAACCCAATGGCATCTGCTCACTCGAGGAATACGAAGAGCCTCTGTCACTGTCACTGTCATTGTCACTGTCACTACCATTGTTCATTGATTTGCTTGAGTGGGCCCAGTAACGTCTCCATTATGACACTTGTTACTGTGTTTGGCATATCAAATATGTCTTGGGTAGCTTACTAGGCTTTGCTGTGCGGGTGAGATACTCTTGGTAGCTTGCTGGGCTCTCTGAGAGGGGTGGAGGAATCAAACATGGGTCGGCCAGGCAAACGCCCTACCAGCTGGAGTGAGCTACCCGTGATGTATTCGATACGCCAAAAACAGTAACAAGTGTCACAATGGAGACGTTACTGGGCCCACTCAAGCAAATCGATGAACAACGGTAGTGACAGTGACAGTGACAATATCAATTTCTTTTAAACATCTAGTTAAAAATGGGAATAAGAATGTCATTTATTTTAAATGTTATGAATTCTTTTTTTATTGAACCATAGTGAGATACAAAGCTTTCATATTTGAGTTACAATCATACAATGATCAACCACCCATCCCTCCACCAGTGCACACACCCAACTACCAATGTCCCCAGTATACCTCCCTTTCCCACCCTTCCCCTGCCTCCATGACAGACAAAATGTTAAAATGTTAAAATTTGAGGGTTGTATTGTTAAACTGATTAACGAAGAGTCTCAAACCTCAAAAAAATTTTTTTTCTTTTTCTCTCAAATTGATCAAAATTTTAAAAAAATCAAGGGAGGATTTTTTCCCTGGGAACATTTCCACCCCCCCCCCCCCCACCAGGGACTCAGATTAGGGAGACTGTTGTAGCTGCAAAAACTGCTTTAAAACTTAGTTACGGGGGCTGGAGCAATAGCACAGCGGACAGGGTATTTGCCTTGCACCGGGCAGACCAGGGTTCGATTCCCAGCATTCCATGTGGTCCCCTGGGCACTGCCAGGGGTAATTCTTAAATGCAAAGCTAGGTGTAACCCCTGTGCAACACTGGGTGTGACAAAAAAACCCAAAAAACAAAATAAAACTTAGTTGCTTAAAATAGCTTATTTTTACAATTCTGCTCATTGATCATAACTATGGATCAGATACATAAAGATGTTGTATCTTTGCCCTAGGACTTCCTCTGCCAAGAATTGAACATAACTCAATGGACTGAACTGAAATCAACTCCAAGATCCTTCTGTGTGTGTATCTGGTGCCTGGTCTGCACTAATGTCAAAACTAGGACTGCCAACTGGACTTCCCATATGTAGCCATTCCATGCAACGTGGATCCCTCAAAATATGATGGTATTTGAACTTTTTACTCTGTGGTCATTTGCTCCAAGCACACATTGTCATACATCTCTGGCTTTTTTTCTGATGTCACAGAATGTCTCCTTTACCATTGGTCAAAGCAAACATAAGAACAACTAGATTTAAGGAGGGGAATATTAACTTCCTTAGGAGGTAGTTGCAAAGTCATCTAGTGAAAGAGCAAATGGTACCAGATTTGGTGTGCTAGTAATAAAATAAAAGGTGTCTGAATCTAGGGAGTTGGGTAGCTAAAAGAATGAGAATAAATGAATAAATTAATAGTAGTGATTTTATTCCGTGTTATACTATGCAATTGTGAAACCAACGAAACTATAGCTACATATATTAGCACAAAGGATACAGAACTCTTGTATGTTGTTAAAAGAGCAAGTTACAGAATCCTTATAATACCCTACCAGTTTTATAGAGTTCAAACGAGTTAAATGTAAATAACCCAGTTGTGTTGTTTAGTATTTTCTACCTATATGGTAGGACTATAAAGAAAAATGCAAGCCAAAGAGTAAGAGAAAATAAGTTTTGGTATGGTAACGACCTTTGTGAGGTAAGTGTGAAAAGATGAAAAATGGGATAGAATATAAATATGTTTCTAGGTTTATGGGGGATAAGTTTATAGGTGGTTATCACATTATTTTTCCCTTATTGATATCCTTCCATGTTGGCTGAGTGATTTATTTAACTATTTATTCAACAAGGACATAGTAAGAACCTAGTATATGTCTAACGTGTGTTAAGTGACAAGCATAGAAGGGATAAATAAGATAGTTATGGTTCCCACATACTGGGAAAGATTTGTGGTGATGACTACACACTAGTGACATATAGTGTGGTCAGCAGGCTCCTGGAGGGCAGCAGCTGTGATGGGCCTATGACCCAGACTTGGAAGTCAGGAACGATTTCTATAAAGAAGCTACTCCCAAGAGACCAGAAAGATGCGTAGACAGAAGGAAGAGCACATGTGAGAAAGAGTTTGGAGATGAGAAGGTGCAACATGTTGGTAGTATTGAGTGAACATTGAAGGTGAAATGAGTATTATCCAGAGATGTGCTTGGCAATTTAAACAGGACCTAGATGTGCCAAGTCCTTTTCTTCAGAGGATCTCCAGCTTCAACACAGGATGCCATCTAAGAGAGCCCAAAGAAGGGGGTTAGGCTGCTTTTAGGGACATCTGAAACCAGTAAGCTGCATACCATCAGTCTCTGGCACCTTCCTTCATCACTGCATATCTTTTTATCTTTTCTCTCTCTGCCAACATCTTGACCTCTATATGTCATATAGCAGAAAATATGATCATTGTTTCTTCTCTCAGCCTCAAGTCATGAAATCTTGAGGAAAAGACTTACTGTGATTAGACTACTGATGTAGGTCTCATAGAAGCCACGGAGACAGGAGAGAGAAACAGCTTAGGAAAGATACTCGAATGTCCATAGTGCTATTTGAGCATTTGAGAACTGACACATATTCCCAAACCTGTACTGTTCGTGTGAGAGTGCTCCAACCTGATATGCATATTACAGAGCTGAAATTTGTCTCGAGTTTGGCAATACTCAGAGTAATGGCGAGAAGGACAAAAGAGAAGGAGTTGGTAACTTGTTACAGGTGAGAAATAATATGAGGTTGATGGTGACAGAAGCATATGAAGGGCAAGTGGGGAATTTCTGTTAAATTTTCTATTCAACTTGATTGCTTCAGACTGTGCTGTTTGAGGACTTAAAAAAAAAGAAAAAAAAAGGTCTGGCACTCAAAGAGGTGTGGGAAATGGCCTTTGTTTTGTTTTGGGAAATGTTTTTGTGGCCAATAAAATAATCCTTTCTAGGGGAGTAGTAATGCACATTTGCATCTCAAAGGATTGGAAAAATTTGTTAAAGAACACAAGTCTAATTTTCTCCGACCCATGGTTTCCCCAATAAACCTTTTGGAAAGATTTTTTTAAAAAAAAAATCCCTACAAACAGCTCTCAGAACTATGTCTTAGCTTGAAATGACGCAGAGAGCAAGGAGGGAACAGAAAAGACTATTAGAACTAGTTCACCAGACCGCTTACAAATTCTTCCAGGGGCCTTGCAGCTTTGAATAGTCCTGAGCTTCAAATCTCTGTCTTCACCTTGATTTCTCTTTCAACTCTGGTTGTGTAGGAGATAGTTTCACTATAGAGTTGTTCCCTACACTCTGGGCCCTTCCCTTGTTAGCACTACCAGTCTTCAGTCCTTGGCTTATGCACTAGGCATCAATTTCACACTGCCTTGCATTTAATTTACCAGCATGGGTTTCATCCTCACCTGGTTCTAAGTCCTTCAGAGGAAAAATGGTTGATGATTTTGTGCATTCCTTCTAGTATTGGGCAAGGTTCCCTGCACCATTTAATAGAGAATTCTAGAATGAGTCTGGGCTAGAGCAATAGCACAGCAGTAGGGCGTTTGCCTTGTACATGGCTGGTCTGGTCAACCCGGGTTCGATTCCTCTGCCCCCCTTGAAGAGCCTGGCAAGCTACCGAGAGTATCTTGCCCACACGGCAAAGCCTTGCAAGCTACCCATGACATATTCAATATGCCAAACATAGTAACAACAAGTCTCATAATGGAGATTTTACTGGGCCCGCTCAAGCAAATTGATGAACAATAGGAGGACAGTGCTAAAGTGCTACAGAATGAGTCTATTTGTTCATCTGTGGAACCGTCTCTGAAGGTCACATGCAGGGACTAGCCTGCCTCTTGTTATTTCCCTACCCCATAATGGGTGTAGTAGCATAAGGGGTGTGGTCACTGGAGTTGGTTTTAAATTCTGTTCAGAAATATGGCTGCTGATGGACAAGATCTCAGAGGATATTAAAATAGCACAAGCTTTCAGTTGGCATTCACTGACACAACAGTGTTATTCCCCAAAGTACTCCTCTTAGGGATAACGCAACAGCATTCACAACCACAGCAGAAAAGAAGAGAGTGGGTCCCTGGAAATTCTAATCCTTTAAAGGGAGAAGATGAAATTCCCTTCATCACTCTGACACATGTACAGCGTTCTTGAGTAAAGTACATTCGTATCCCGCCTCCCCCAGATGGAACCCCGGTGACCAGAAGCCTCTACAAGCACAGCTCGAGTATGCAGGAACTAGGACTTTTTCTCAAATCTGCCGGGACTACAGCTCCCAGGTAACCTCTGATTCCGGAAGTCACGCCCACAGCCCGCCCCCCAGCGCCATCTTTACAGCATACAGCCGAAGAGAAGGGCCACATGGAGGGCGGGATCCACAGCTCCCGGAGGAAAAAAAAAACAGGTTCCAAAAAGAGCCGAGATCATCGGGAAGTCCCAGATGGGGTAGGTACCGCATCCCGCCTCCCCCAGATGGAACCCCGGTGACCAGAAGCCTCTACAAGCACAGCTCGAGTATGCGGGAACTAGGACTTTTCCTCAAAACCGCGCGGTCACTTACGCGGCCGCACGACATCTCTCTATACACAAAGTGATCAATGGGAAGTAAACCACCCAATGTTTCTCCCCGAAAATCAGAGCTAAGTTTGGAGCACGGCCACAGCCCCAGAAACACAAGGACTTAATGCAGAACCCAGCAGCTTGGAGCAGAAAAGTGAACAGACTATGCATTAATCCAGGCCATCATGTCTGTCCGGAGGGGAAAGGGTGTTGCCCCATTCGCTCTCTCTTCTCTGGAAAGAAGGATGGCGGCCGCATGGGAGCCTTGTGGACAGCAGGTATGAGCTGGGGGTGTGGGGGCGACTAAAACCTCATGGGAAGGGGGGCGTTTCGGTCCGCCCTTCATGCCCTACCGAGGCCACCAGTTGCCCCCCACGAGCGGCTCTCCACCACGACTCCAGAGCACAGAAACCAATTTCTTAACTATCTGACTTTCAGTAGAAATACTTCCAGGGTCAATAAGTAAAATAGCAGAAATCCAAAACCAACATTTAATTCTTGAACCCAGCTGTAGAAAGTAAATCACTTCACAATGCTTTTTCAGCATGTCTGATTTGGGGGGGGGGGTAAACTTTAAATAATAGTGGTGAATCTTTTAATGAAACAATGAGTCTAACCAAAGCAGATAGAGTGTTAACTAGAATTCATCTGCCTCACAGGGACTGGGGGGGTGGGGGTGGGGTTTTATTGGGGTTCTTCATGGTAAAAAATAAGTATTGGTAAAGGGAAATGTGTTTGATATTTGCGTGACTGAGACCTAAACCTGAAAGGTCTGTAACCTTTCCCACAGTGATTCAATAAATAAATAAATTAATTAAAATAAAATAAAGTACATTCGTTCCCTTTCTGTTGTGTTTATTGTCTTTGTCTTTCGTAAGGAGAACTGCATTCTGTTTTAAAATTTTACTTCCTGCTCACAACTTTTGATTACAGAACACTGAAATATGTAAAAAGCAAAGCACATGGTATAGAGAACCTTCATGTAAGTATCACAAAGCTTCTAAAATGAACACCCCTATGGTTCTCTTCAGCTCTAGATATTTTGCAGCAAACCTCAGAATCATTTCATCCTTGACTCCCCTTTTAAACCTGACAAAGTCCTTGACAAAGGAAGCTCTACATGGGAAAGATTTAGTGATGACTTATAACATGACATATTGTTTGAAATCTGACCTTTGATTTATATTATGATTTTACAAAAAAAATACTTATACCAAGTATCCTCTATTATAAAACCCCCAAAAGGTAGCAATCCTGAGAAATTTTCAAAGACAAAAATCAATCTCGTTCATCCTATTCAGTTGGGTGCTGGCTGATAGGAGCATATAAACTATGCAGCTTATCCAGATGTTGATCTTGCGTTTGGGTGAGAAAACATTCCAGTTCTGTTTACCTAATTCTCATACTTGTTTTCTGCCAGTCTGATTCCTTTGCATCAGCTTTATATGACTTTTTTGACTCCAAAATGACTGGTGGATTGCTGAGATTTCTCTCTTTTGCCGAGCTTTGGGTTTCAGTAGGGGAAGAAAGACCTGTTTGGTAGGGAAGAATGTATTGGTGCAAAGTCCTACCTCTTCTCCCATTTCACTCTCTCTTGAAGTCAGTTCTGCTCCTAGCACAAAAGAGAGTGAGGCTCATTTTGACACTCCTAACAAACTTAGGATGCAGGGAGGTGAAGGAAGTAAAACAGACTATGTAAAAGACATTTAAGGAGTCTATAATGAAACTCATTCAATGTCTTGATCTTTTGAGTTTCTGACGTCTCTCATTGTCTCTTGGAAAGGATTCATGCTCTCCTCCAGGTTGCTATGATGAGACAGATGTGGAACTTTTCATTTTCCGGGATTGTGTAGACTTCAGCTGTCATCTCTCCTGAATAAGTCAGCCTACAAGACAGCTCAGTTCAGGCCTTTTGTTATTTTTATTTTTGTGATAGTAAGATAAAAAAGGGCTGATGTAAAGAGAGGACTGCATTTCTCAACTACATGGAAGGGAGATTTTCTGCAGAGCAGCAAATGATGTGGGAAATAGCAGGAGAAAGATCTCTAAGACTGAGAAGGGGTGGGACAGAATGATTTGGGGGTCCAAAGAAAGGTAGAAATCATTGTGTTATTCCTACTTGTGCCCCTAGAGAGCTAGGACCCTAGGCCTCAGGGTCCTAAGTTCAGCCACACCTCACCCTACATCTCTTCTCTTGGACCACCACCATGGCTCAAGACAGCCAGGGACCAGCATGGATGAAAAATGGGAGATTTACCCAAAGGTTCCCAGTGAAGTAAGACTTTCAAGAATCTGTCCTGTATCCAGAAGAAGAGGAGTGGGAGAGTCCCAATAACAACCTAAGCAGACTTTCTTGCAGTTTATTGCCTCCATTAAGTATTCTTTTGAAAACAGAAAGCCAATGTGGCATTTCTTAAGCTTGAGATGTGGAGTCAAATTCAGCACAGCTGCATTTTATGCTCTGCCTAATTTACTTTCTCAGAAATTTTGAAACAATCCTCAGAAATATTAAAGGGAAATTACCCCCTGCCCCGAATTACTCTATTAATGATTTTTATGTTTATCTTAGTGTTCACTGTTACAGGACATGTGCTCTACTGCCAAGTTACATCCGTGTACCCAGTTCTTTCTTCTTTGGTTATATGTCATGAATATGATTGTGTCTCACTTTCCACCTATAAATTCATATGTTAAAACTCTAATACCCAGTGTGACTTACCTAGCAGTTAGGCCTTTATGAGATTATTAAAGTTAAATTAGGTTATAAGGGTGAATTCCTACTTCATTAGTAAGGGTATGTCCCTGAGAAAAGAAACTATGATGTTTGCATGGAGATGTCAGGTGAAGACATGGCACAAAAGTGCTCATCTACAGTAGAGAAAGAGGCTTTGCACTCAGGAATCATAGCTCCTGGTGGTGCTCAGAGGACCATATAAGATGCTGGGAATCTAACCCGGGTCGGCCGCGTGCAAGGCAAACACCTTACCCACTGTGCTATTGCTCCAGCCCCCACAACTTTGCTGTTTGAACCGTGGTCTCACTTTTCCAGCAGATAGTTTCTGGTTATGGCCTCTCTTGCAAAACAGTGCGCTACTTTTATTTATTTTTAGTAGGTTTTTTTTTTGCAGGGGTAGGGGTGCAGAGGGTACACTCGACAATGCTCAGGGGTTACTCCTGGCTCTGCACTTAGGAATTACTCCTGCAAATGATCAGGGGACCATATGGGATGTAGTGGATTGAACCTGGGTCTTTGGCATGCAAGGCAAGTGTCTTACCCACTGTATTGTTGAACCTGTCCCACCAACGCACTGCTTTCAATACTTCCAAGTACAGGTCTTTATTTTCATTGAAAATCTGCACTATTATATCTAGTGGACTTTATTTAGCTGTGTGGAATTGGGTAAAATCATTCATCTTCTGATAAAGAACTTTGCATTGGTTATAGAATATATTGAAAGGTCATTGACCAAGCAAACAGAAATCAAATTTTGCTCTAACTGTGAAAAAGAATGATGGTGCTTATATAGTTAGGGAAAGTTCTAACTACCATAAATTAGGTTCAAAATGCTTTCCCTGTGAACTTTGGTAATGCTGGCATCACACTAATTTTTTAAATATGAAAGTGCCAAAGACATGTTATATATCCAGGGAGATTATATTAAATCATAAAATTATTTTCTTATTACTTTATTTGCCTATTTGCTACCATTATAGTACAGTTTAAAATCTTAAAAATTGAGAGTTGATCTGTTTCAGATTTTATGGCCCTGTAAATAGCAGGTTAAATTTTACATACAATGTACTAGAGAAAGTGTGTATGTGTGTGAGAGAGAAAATATATAAATACCAAATCAAATGTATAAACATATTTTATATCCAAAGTTTCTTCTTTTTAAATAACTTAATTGAAATATAATTCATCTATCATGTAATTCCTATTAAGAAGACATAAAGGCATCAGAAAAAAAGTCTTCATTACTAATCAGTAAGATGCAAATCAGAACCACAATGATATAACACCTCTGCTATGAGAGTGACCTATATCCAAAATATTAGAAACAAGTATTGGGGATAATAGGAAATATGGAGTGAAAAAGTGTCTCAGATATTGTTAGAAAATAAATTGGTGCAGCCACTTTGGAACTGAGTGTGAAATGTTTTTCAGATTAAAATTCTATATAAATACCTTATGGCCCAGCAATTTCACATCTATCAGAAGACTAAGAAGATGATAATTTGAAAAAGATACATACACCCTCTATGTTTGTTGCAGCATTATTCACAATACAGGCCATGGATACCCATCATGAATGATGGGAAAAAGAAGATACACGTGGTCACAATAGAGTACATTCATTCATTGTCTTTTGCAATGTTTTTAATGGAACTGGAGGGAATTATAAGTGAAATAAGGCAAAAAGAAAAAGATGATTTCCATGCAATTTCACATATATGTGTAGAATATAAAGAAACAAAGCAAACAAATGACAATATTAGTAGCGCCAGAACAGAACTATCCCCAGTCACAAAGCCAGGGATCACCGGTAGCTGATCAACAGTACCTGCATTGCTTTCCTTAGGTGGCCACGTCAAAACTGGATCTTCACCTGTAGCTTTCCATTTGTCAGGAGAAGAGCCTGGAACTCAAGATGGAAGCTGGCCTTTGGAAAATACCTGAACAAGATATAGTGTGACGCCTTCAGAGAGCCTCTGTGTTTTCCAAAACCCCAGTGTATTTCTCTTTCTCTCTAAAAGAGCAAATAAAGATGACAAATAAGATGGTTCTGCTTATCCCATCATGGTCTGACTTTGTAAACATTCTAGTCTACAGGGCTCTTTACTGGGTATAACATCCAAGTTCTAGACCGGAAAATCTCAATAAAGGATTCTATATATATATGGTCACTTCATTCAAAAATTTATTGCATTTTGCATAAAAAATCAATAGGTAGATGGAAAATATTGTAAAGGAGAGGTATTTTCATGTTTATATAAAGAGAAAGCGCCGAATCCTAACCACTAGACCACCAAGCTAGAGTGGTAGCACAGCAGGTAGGGTGTTTGCCTTGCACGCAGCCGACCCAGGTTTGATTCCTCTGTCCCTCGAGCCTGGCAAGCTACCAAGAGTATCCCGCCCACACCCCAGAGCCTGACAAGCTCCCTGTGGTGTATTCTATATGCCCAAAACAGTAACAACAAGTCTCACAATGAAGATGTTACTGGTGCCTGCTTGAGCAAATCAGTGAACAATGGGAGGACACTGCATATAAAGAGAACCTATCTTTACTTATTTTTATTTATGTATTTATTTATTTTTTGTTTTTTGGGTCACACCCAGCAGTGCTCAGGGGTTATTCTGAGCTCTGCACTCAGGAAGTACTCCTGGTGGTGCTCGGGGGACCATATGGGGTGCTGGAGGATCGAACCCGGGTCAGTTGCATGCAGGGCAAATGCCCTATCAGCTGTGCTATTGCTCCAGCCATCATATCTTTCTTTTTTGAAGTCTATGAAAGTATGACAAGACAGCAAACCTTAGCCTCCAATCTATTTTCTCATTTCTTAGGGAGGGCTCAAGAAGTACTCAGAGGGCCAAGAGGCCACTCCTGGGGGCACTTGGTCACACAGACCCAGGTATTTTAATTCCAAGCAGTGATGGGAGTCATCAGGGCCACACCCAGCAGCACTACAGGGACCATGTGGCTCCAGGGCTTCCACTTGGCTGCAAGGCCTTTGGAAAGAGCTCCAGCCCTTCAAGTTATAGTCTCTGTCCCAACTTTATAATTTTTTTAAATGACAAGTAATATGAGATGATAATATGACTTCTGGGGAAAAATATTTTTATGGTTATATCTATGAGTTATTGCTTTGATAGTTCTAAAAGAGATAGCAGCATCTAGTCTCAAATTATTTTTAAACATTAATTCACTGTGAATAGTATAGTGCACACTTCAAATATTCGTCTTTATTGAGGTATAATTAACATATAAAACTATGAGGTATTTAGAATGCATTTTATGGTAATTTAAAATATGTACATGCTGTGAAACAATTCAGCCATCTAGTTAATTAACATATCCATCGCCTCACATATTTATCTTGTTTGTTTATTGGTTGGTTGGTTTGGATTTTGGTGAGAATAGTTTAGTCTTCTCTTAGCAAATCACAATTATACAATACATTATCAACCAGAATCACTATTTTTTCATGAGTTTCTCAGATCTATTCATCTTAATAGTGAAGTGTATTTGAGAGAAGATGTGATCAGTGATTCATAATTAAAGCAAATAATTTTATTGGTCTTTAGAAAAAAATCTACTTTCCTCTTAACTTTGAATATGAAACAAGTCTGAAACATTTTACTGGCAAGTACCTGGTCACAATTACCAGTATATGTTGGTAGGAGACTACAGAGAGAAATTGGTAATCTTTTGGTTTCCTTTGCATGCAAAGAATTTATCCTATGCATTTATCCTAGACTGCAGCAACATGGAGGAGTCACAGTCATTTTATAATTTCTGCCTTTTTCTTGCAAGAATTGGATGTTCCAGGTATGTGTACCTTTAAGGGGTTGTTGCTCCTCTGAATTGATGGTAATGAAACACAGCCCACAGGTTTCTGTGTTTCTGAAGGTTTCTCCTTCATCTTTTAGTCTTTTTCCATCGCTAGAAGATAGCATGGGAAGAAGGGCATTGTGGGAATCATGGTTGTTTTCCACAGTTCAGTTTCAAGAAGAATGTCAAGGTCAGGCTCTGGCTACCAAATCTAGAAACTGACCTCCAAGTCAGGAGGAATTACCAACTTAACAATTTGCCCAGGAAGCTTTAATCATAATATTTAAAAGATGAGCACTGTTGATAATCTTTTAAACTTTATCTAGATCCTTAAGTGTATTTGGAAGTAACCACTTTGCATATTTATACAAAGTATTGAGCTTTACAAAGTATTGAATCAGAGGGAAGAAAAGAGAACTTTCTGATGCATCTCCCAATTCAAATTGATGTTGGTCAGAAGTGAGCTTGGCATATGTGTCTTGGTTTGCTGAATAAAGTCTTAAAATGTAGCAAATTTAAATAAACATTCATATAAATACAGTTACACAGGGGTGATCCAAAGATTAGTATTTTAGGTGTTTGTTTTTTTGGCTCAAGATATCTTTCCCTACAATGCATGTATTGCTCCAACTATCTAAGCTGAAGAATCTATTCATATGCTATGGCATTATACTGGGAATCCAAGAATTATATTTCCAGAATTAAAACATGCTCTGAAAAATGTAAGTTCAATAATTTCAAGCTCCAAAGCACTTTTTCTGTTATAAGTAGCCACCTTTTCCATTCATTACAATTTCCCAAACACTTTCAATAGGGACATACCTAAAATGTCTAATTTGTATAGCAAACTGATTTGATCTTGCCACAATCTGAAGCTGAAAACCTTGACATCTTGGTACACTCACAATCTGTTCCTGGGCATAAGGATTCATCTATTTTGAATGATTCTAATTGATCATCTCCCAAGTTCATTACAGGCTTAAATTCTCATTACTTATAGTCCATAAACACTTCTTAGGTTCAGTGGGACCTATCAAAGCCCTTGAAGTGACCATTCCAATGAGATAAGATAACCCCATAGTAGATTGAATGGGGAAGG